TCGTGAATTGGGTAGATACGGGCAAAACGACTCCATGTTTGGGATTAACCCCTCATGAAATTAGGTAGATATGGGTGAGCCGTCTCTCCTTGTGATCTTATGCTCGCTCGAGGGGTTTGCTTCCTTTGTGGGTTTCAAGGGCTTTAGTCGAGGACCTATCCTCGACGTGTTCCTCGCCCTTTCACTTGATTTGCGGTGGAAGGCTGGATTTGATGATGTCGAAGTCACTATTTTTCTTATGCTTTTCAGATTAAATGGCTCAATCGGTTGGGGAAGTGAATTTTTTGATCCTCAGGGTGAAGAAAATTCCAATGCGGACAACAATGCAAATGCGGGAAATAATTTGGACTAGATTGCACCCGAGCCCAAAAATATGATGTCCGAATTTGTCCATGATGCTTCAGATGCCTTCAATGTTGTCGAGGACAGGGCCGATGGTGCTCCTGCCTCTTGGTCAATTCTCATTTCGTATAAGAAACGAAGGATCTGTTTGGCCTACCCTGGTAAGTGCTTTCCAATGTACGAGTTTGCTTTCAAGGAGGCAGGGATGTGCCTACCTGTTACAGCCTTCCAAGTTGGAGTTTTTAAATGGTTGCACTTGGCGCCTTCCTAGCTTCACCCGAACACACTCATGTTTATGCGGATTTTCGAGATTGTATACCAATATCTTAATATTAATGCTTCTTTACCTCTATTCTTTCGGATCTTCCACCTTCAGCGGAAAACAGTGAGGGGTCTCTAGGCCTGGGTGTCGTTCAAGCAGCACATAAAGCTGTTTCGACTGTATCTGGGTTCCATCCGACATTTCAAGGAAAGGTTTTGCATCGTGAAGCCATTGTCAGACGCGACTGTGGATTCCTTGTACGAGTGTACCGTCGAGATCAAGGATGGTTGGAAGGTGACTAAGTTTCAGGCGAGATTCTCCCTTGAGTGGCAGTGGACGCATTATGAGCAGAAGCCAGAAAGTTATTCAGTAAAGCCCGAGAAGCTGGGCGCTCAAGATAGGCTTGCCTATGATAAATTGGCGACCTACATAAATAGCTTTTCCCCGGCCAAATGTATGGACTTAGACAATAACTTTATTGTCCATGATGAGAGAGAGCATATGGTTGTTTCCCGCCTCATAAATACAAAGATGCTCCTCGAGTGCTCATCTGACGAGGAGTCCTTAGAGCTCTTAGGTAGGGGACGTGCCCATATTAGATGTTTGTTTGTTTTGTTTTATAGACTAAATTGTTCCCTTTTTGGATTGCAGGTCGAATGGCCACTTTCGAGGAACGTCTGCTTAAGCTAAGGGGCAAAGCTGGCCAAAAAGTGCCTAAAGGGCGTGCTTCCCAGATCCAATAACAAGCTAAAGTTGGTGCCCAAGTTAGTGGTTCCTCTACCCCTCAAGGTGGCAGAGTTTCTCCCCTTGAACATCCCGCGAAAAGGAAGCACAAAGGGAGTACAGACCGTGTGCCCACTGAAGATAAAGGCAAGAGCTTCAGGGAGACGTTTGTTTTTCCCCTTGTTATCTCCGCTTTGACATCTTTAGCGGGGATGATGCCTTAGGTCTCCATGAAGGGGAACGGGAAGCCATCATGTCTGCGGGCAAAGAGGTCCGACACAAGAATCTGTCTTAGGACATGGCCGTCGTGATGAGGGTTCTTGAAACAGCTTTGACCCTTAATGATGCAGAGACGTGCTCGAAGGAGGAGTTCGATAAAGTGTATGGCCGAATTGACAGGTTGAGGCTTCAGAACGGAAATGTTGAAGGCTTATGCCTTGGCCTATAATGGAAAAATATTGAGGGCTTATGCCCTAGCCTTATATGGTAATTTTGGAGAGAACTTATGCCCTGATGGTACCACTTGCATCTTGCATCAGTGTCAATCACATTGTATTTGTTGAATTGTTGATGTAACAATGAAATTGGATTGCATAATTGATATGTGTTGTAAGATGGATGATGATAATTATGTGTGTGCTTGTATAATTACTAATGAATCATAAATAATAATCATTGAATTAGAAATCTGACGAGATATATCTATTGTATATTCATGATTATGTAACTTATTATATTGTTGTGATATCTCACCCATTCTGTTTGAATGTTGCCTCTACGTGGATAACATGCAGGTGATCCGCAATAGACGAGATTATTCGTCATTTACTTTCGAGTCGGCATCGTGCTCTGATACGTAACACCGAGGGATGAACTCTTACTTATTTTGCTTATTTGTTATTTTTATTTGAAGAATGGTGGGAGTATTACAGACTCTCTTTATTTGATTTAAAATGTTGTTTTATGATGAGTTAAAGATGTTGAAAATAATTATGATTTTCTTTTTGTTGCATTAATAAAGTTAAAGTTTGAAGACCATGATAAAATTATTGCTGGTTCATTCAAAGTGTGTTACGTATCTGTTTTATTATATTTGAGAAAGTTTTAATATGTTGGAAGAAGGCGACATCCTATTTTTGGTGTTCGATTTAGAAATTAATTCACTCTGATTTTTATTTAATTATCGATGGAGAAATAAGGTGTTACACTAGACTATTGCTATTTTTGCTTTTTTCTTGGAGCGAAGCTTGACCTCTATCTAGTTCTCGAAAAGTCATTTTGTCTTTTTTTTAGATTCCCTGACAGCCTCATTAATTCTCATGATTACTACATGATTTTGTGCCTTATTTCCGTTATCATTATTATTACTCTCCATAATGCCCTTTCTGATGTGATTTCTTTCCTAATTTATTTTTTCTCTCTCTTGAACCATTTGATTGATTCCTATTGACTTGTTTAACCCCACCTTTATTTCTGAATCATGCACGCCATCTTCCATATCATGCATTAAAGAAGCAAATCTTGAACCATTTTTGTTCTCCACCGCAATTAATGTTACTAGGACTCTTCTTCCTCCCCCAGTCCCCACTATTTCTTCCCTTTCCTTCCATTTTCTCTGCCGCCTTTGCTTATGCACCACCACCCACCACCCTTTACTATTACTCCCCAATAACTCTCCTCCTTTTTGAATTGCGCTCTCTCCATTTCCATCTCTGTCATTTTGGTTTTCATGAATAATTTTTTCTTTACCCAGACATCCTTCAACATAACTCTCAAATTTACTACAATTTGTGCAGAGTAGATATAGTCCTTTGTACTCCTCATTGTATTTCCTATCTTTGATCATGAACATTGCCACCAACGCTTTTGTCAAATTCACCTCCACACAAATACGTGCATACTTCCCCCTAACATGCATCACTATATTTTATCTACTTTTACGGTCTTCTCAATCTTGTTCCCAATGTGTTGTAGCACCCTACAATCATACTACTCTATTGAGAGCTCATATATTCTCACCCACACTGCAACCATCTTAGTTGTGTCACTTTGTGGATGAAAATTTAGACTCTGTTCTTTCACTGTAAAAGATAATGATCGCATATAAACCAGAGGTCATTCATCATTGCAATCGCATGGTCATGATCATGAGAGAAGGTTATTAAATAATAATCATTACTTAGATCGATAATATTTATTATCCCTTTCTTTACTCACATTTACTTTAATCTCGTCGCCAAAACCTTATATCCAATCTTTCTACTCAAGAGCTTAACAATAATTTCTTTTCCATGATATATATATATATATATATATATATATATATATATATATATATATATATATATATATATATATATATATATATATATATATATATATATATATATATATATATATATATATATATATATATATAAAAGAAAAAAATGAGATCTCTCATTTTTGAAGATTCTGTGCAATTTACACGGATAGTGTAAATATTATATTCTTCTTTCTTTAAGAAATCAAAATACTATATATATTTCTAAATATAATATTCCTTAAATTAAATCACAAGTATAAAAAAATTGATTGAAATAATAAATTTATTATGCTTAATGCAGAAAAAATATATAACATAATCATGAATATATGAGTAAAAAGTAATTAATATATTTATAATAATAATAATGTGTAACACAATTTAATATTTGAAGAGAATTTTTTAAAAAGAAACACTGGAAAAACTTAATGCTTTTTATATTTAAAGATAAATATAATACAATATTAAAGGCACAAGTTAATTTGACTATTTATAAAAAGAAATTTAACATATTAGAAATTGAAATACTTCAGGTTTGTTTGAATTGGTTTTAGTTTTTAATTTTTAAAAGATTTTGCAAATCATTCTAAAAAATAGTTTTCAAAAAAAACATATTTAGTAATTTTATTTTCAAAAATCATTTTAAAATTTTACAAAATAAAAAATTTGTCATTAAAGAAAAGTGTATAATTTTTTTTTTCAATTTTAAAAACTAAAACTAAAAATATCTAAAACCTAAAAACTATTTAAGAGAATAATTTTGTAAAATTAAACTGTTAAACACATTTTATTGTTTTTACATTTAAAAAATAAAAAATTATTTTGCAAAACCAAATCAAATACGACCTTAATTTAAATAAAAAAATTGAATCATTTAACAAAATCCAAAAATATTTAAATTTTTGTACTATAAAAAAACAACCTTAATAATAGCCATTCAAATCTAAACCAACCACACTTCAAATTTATACTTACCCACAATTTATTTTTATTTAAATTATTTTCACAAGATAAATATTAATTATAATTAATCAATAACCTAATAAAAATGAAATCTATTATAATTTAAAAATCTATTTCCTCCCATCATTATTATAAGGAAGAAAATCTTAAATTTTAGTTATTATTATAAACAAATGATATTAATTTTTAGATTAATTAATGCATATTTAATTTAAGTCAAATATATTTAATGTTGTTATTTTATTTATAATTGTGGGAAGGAAATATATAAATAATTAGGATTCGGCATTGCGGAACCCAAACCCACAAAGAAGTAAGAGTCACAGAGAAGCCAACCATCTTTCTCTTAATTCCAATCGTATAAATACTTCATCAAACTGTCGGTTCTGAAACATTCTTGATTTCATGGCGTCTCAAGCCAGCCTTCTCCTTCAAAAACAGCTCAAAGGTAATAACAAACCCTTTTTCTCGGTTCTTTCATTCTTTCTGCGATCTTGTTATTAACTGACCCTTTTTTTTTTTGTTCTCAGATCTTTGCAAACACCCTGTCGATGGCTTTTCTGCTGGGTTGGTTGATGAAAGCAATATTTTTGAATGGAGTGTCACCATAATTGGACCCCCTGATACTCTCTAGTATAACCCCTCGTTTCTCACTAATTGTTTCGATTTTGGGTTTTGGGTTTTTATTTGTTGTTGTGGCTATAGATCACGTCTTTGATTACTTCTTTTAGGTTTGTTTTTGTTTTTCTAATTTATTTAATGATGATCATGAAAATTTATTAAGGTTGTTTCTTGAGAGGTTCTTGTCGAATATGATGTTTTCCTAACTTGTTTGTTGTTTTGTTTATGCTGTTAACTATTTGGATCGGTCTATGTCTTGGTTTCAATATCACTGCCCACCAACTATTTGTGATATTGTTTGTGTTGATTTGATTACAATTTACAATAGATTGCGATTGCACTAATTCTTAGGTTTCTCAAAATGTACTTGCATAGGTTTTGCTAATTACTAGTTTTTTTTTTTTTGTGTTTGTTTTGTTTTCTATGTAGCACTTTAATTTTACTGACTTATTATCTCTGTTGTTTTGTTTGTCAATTTGTTGGATTTTTTTCTCATAGCGAGGGAGGGTTTTTCAATGCTATAATGAGCTTTCCTTCCAACTACCCAAATAGTCCACCATCAGTGAAATTCACCTCAGAGATATGGCACCCTAATGGTTGGTTTGTTTATTTATTTTTATTTGTGATTTTGGTTTCATTTTATTAACCACGCGAGACTGCGAAACTGAAGGTTTTTTTTTTTTTGTTTAATTTGCAGTATATCCTGATGGTCGGGTTTGCATATCAATCCTCCATCCTCCAGGTGATGATCCTAATGGTTACGAGCTTGCAAGTGAGCGCTGGACACCTGTTCATACGGTACGTGATACTATACAATTATACTCTTCATTGTTAAACTTGTTAGTATAGTAAGTTTATCTTCAATTATACAATTATACTCTTTAGTTTGAATGTGTTATTGTTTCATAATTCCATAATGTCAAATAAAGTGTAAGTGTAACTTGGAAGTTGCAGATTCTGCGAGGAAGTACTATAAGACTCATTTTCTATCCTTTCATTGCATGAATGGAAACAGTTGATGTTAGAAGTTCTATCCTTTCATTGCATGAATGGAAACAGTTCATGTTAGAAGTTCTAATTTACTACTAACGTTGAAAACTAGAGTGTTAAAAGATTAATAGCAATACACACGAAGCTATCGATAATAGATTTATCCGAAGGAAGTGAATATTATCGAGCTACTATGTATTATAAGTTCAATTTGCTAAACCCAAACTGTCAAGTCGGAGCTGTATCTTTTATATTTACTATTACTCTTAAAATGCAAGTAGAGTGAAAGGCTCAGTAAGTAGTTGTTTTTCAATGAAAAACTATAGAGCGAAAGACCAAAGTTGAATCAAGAGTTTTCCACCTTAATGTATAGAATGAAATAGATTTAAAATGTTTGTAATGACTTCAAAAGTTATGTCTTGAAAGTGAAAACTAAATTGGAGTGTTGAAATTTTCACTGGCTTTCCATTTTACTTGCTGTATGTCCTAGGAAAATGACATGCTACTTTATGTTGGCCAATTGTGATTTCATGTACTTTCTACTTGTGAAACTAAACTTATTCAAATCTTTTATTTACTAAATAATCATCTGTTATCTTGCAGGTAGAGAGTATAGTATTGAGTATCATCTCAATGCTTTCCGGTCCTAATGACGAATCTCCTGCAAATGTTGAAGCTGCAGTAAGTTTGATAATCATTTTTTATTTACTTGATTGTTTTGTTGCAACCAACATTCTCTCTTGTCATAGATTACTTATTTGTATCTTAGAGAACATAAAGGCACCTTAACAGTTGGTGTTCAAAACCAAAACATATTTTGAAGCATTCTAGTGGCAGTTAGTAGGCTGTAAAGAAATGTTGCATGGCATAATACCATCTGCTTATATAATACATCCCCAATTTGTTAACATAAGAGATCAAGAAGTTCTTTTCGGTATTGATGATTAGTGGCTTAATGTTATATGGTTTAGTTGTAGTGTCTTCCACATTAATAATTAGTTTATGAAGGACTATTCGTTTGGGATGTATATGCTTCAAGCTATTTTCTAACCTTGTTTTACATACCCAGATCACTTGATTTTTGACTCCATAAAACCTTGTATATGATGCATAGGCCATTGTTTGGATATCACGTCTTTATAGCATAAAAGTTTATCATATATGTGCTTATGTATGAGCTATTTCTATAACAAAAGAAAATCAAACAATTTTCATATAAGCTATCATTTGAGAGTTTATGTAAATAAATTGAAAACTACTCATGGTTGTGTCGTAAGTTGTCAATGTAACAGTCTTAGAAGTGCTTAAGTCAAATAAGCTCAAATAAAGTAATCCAAACATGCCTTTAACTTAAAATTATATTGCTTGTTCTGGGAACCCTTGCTTTCTAATATATATTCACACTGGTTTTGCGAATAACTGCTCTTATTAGACCTATATTTGATTCAATTTGCAGAAGGAGTGGAGAGATAGCAGAGATGAATTCAGGAAGAAGGTTGGCCGATGTGTAAGGAAGTCACAAGAAATGGTGTGATTTGTCGTCTGCGCATCATGGTGCTTTTGTGAACCAGAGAAAGAATGGCTTTTTTGGAAGTTGGCCACACAACACTCTATTTTCTTCAGTTCCATATGTTAGGAATTGGAAACAAACTGTATTCTAAGTGCTTTGGCCTGGTGGTTTGACATGGGAAATTTACTTTGTTCATTTGCATAAACTTTTTTTCTTTTGTTTAGTTTTAATGAGTTGAAAATAGGTGCTTTGTTTTGTCTTTCTGCTTAATATTGTGATTTTTGGATTCTTAATTCCGAGGTTGTGCTGATTGCTTGATTTCCTTTCATTTTTTTGCAACATGGAGGGAATGTTAAATCTGTTTCCTTTTGAATCAGGATGACACTTCACCGCTTAACTTTTTTAATGTTTCAGATCATGATCATGTTAACAAGGGTTTTAAGTACACTAACTAAAGAAATTAAAAATACGAGTTTTTTTTTTTTAAAATTGAAAATGGCAATATTTAAATTTCTAAACAATTGAATACACCACTTTTCCATGCCACATTTTTATTTAAGTTTCTTAAAAATATGCGTTAACTAATAAATATATTTGATATTATTTAAAGATGAAAATATGAGAAAATTATATATAAACAAAAAAATTATATATTTATCATATTTTCATGAAAAATAAATATATATTATATTTAAAGAATTATATATAATTTTTTATATTAAATTTCATCATGTTCAGCGGGATCCTTAAAGTTCTCATTCTTCGCAGAGCACCATCCAGGAAGAGGACCACGTGCGGGTCCCCACTACACACGTAGAACCTGACAGTCTCTTTGCTGGGCAAGTTCTGGTCGACCCAATAAAAGGACCTTGACCCAGCGCTGGGGGCTATAAATACCCTCTACTTCAAGAGGGCCAGGTATTCATTCATTACACACCTACATACTATTTGTCTGTCCATTCCATCTCTCATTTCATTGAATTCACAATGAATTAAAGATCGAAATCAAAACATAATCACATTTCTTGACTATGAGGGAATAGGAAACATGAATGTTGGCGAAATTTGAGTAAATCTGCACAAGAACGAAGATGAACAGCGGCAACGGTAGCTTGAACACAAATTTTTTGATATTTGATGAAAAGAATTAAAATCGATGGATGATTTCAGATGCGTGTGTTGTTTGGCGCTCAAGATGTTCTTGATCTCGTCCATGACAGTTACACGATAGTTGCAACAGATGCAACCGAAGACAAAGAAACACACACAAAGAGAAACGAGGAAGAAGGATCAAAAGATATTGTTTTATATTCATCAGTGTGTGGATACAAATGTGTTTTAGAAGATCGTTGATTCAACGACGACGAAGGCTGCGTAGGACACGCTGGTACAGTGCTACGATGGTGATGTATTATTGAAGAAGGTGAAACTTCAGAGTCTATATAAGTAGTATGAGAATCTCAACATGAAAAACAATGACAAGATGCCTGATTACATCTCTAGAGTTATTCTGATCACAAATGAGATGAAGTCTTGAGGAGAAACGCTCTTTGAACACACAATCATTGAAAATGTACTGTGACCACTTACTTCTTAGTTTGATTATATTGTAGCAATTGAACATTCTAAGAAACCTCAACACCATGAGAAGAATTGCAGAGTCTAGAAACACAAGAGTTGCGTCTGATTGAGAGAAACTCTGAAAGACAGGTAGAGTAGACACTAAAAACGTCTTCTGATAAGAAAAATCACACACTTTTGGTCAAAGACCAAGAAGAAACATAGTGGTTATGAGAAGTCAGAAACCTTTAACTTCGTTGCTAAATCTAATTCAGAGTTGATATATTATTTAAACTCTGATTGATGTTAAGACAGAGTTAACAAAAAAAAAATACTAATGAATATTTCTTCAAGTATTTAAGAAATCACATTTCTTGATGTTCCAAAAACCAACCTGTAATTGCCTAGTCAACTTGTGAAGTTAAATACATTACAGATGTCTGCATGACAAATTGTTTGGATTATGAATTTATTACAAGGTTAGAAAATCAAAGTGAACAAGTCAATGAGATTGATGATTTGACAACTTCTAGTGTTACATAAAAGAAACATTGACATGAAATTTTATTTTCTGCGCATATTCTGACTAAAACTGAATATTTTAAATTACATTTGAATTGTAATTGTTTATTTATGATGGTATCAATAAATACTAAACTCAAGTTTTTACAAATCCATTTTTTTCCATCTTCATCTTCAAATTGTGCACCAAGACATTTGATTAAACTTAATTTTAAACCATTTTGATGAAGCTGTCAATGTGTGAATATGTAGTTTGCTGCCTATAGAGAATTTAGATACCTTTTTAACCAAAAAAAAACCTCTTGCCATGTAACATTAATCCATGAATTGGAAAACTGATATATTATTGTATTAACTTATATAGGGGTTTGTTTATACATATACAGAAAACAAATAAACAAACAAACAAACATAATAGTAGCATATTTTGGCAACTGCTGCTGCTATGTCGAGCTTTATTAATCTAATTTTGCTGGCTTCACGTGACTTCCCATTCTGATCACGATACCATCAAAATCTCTCACGTACCCAACCTTCTGTCCCCACTCCTTCACCTCCGGCACGCTCACCGACACCGCACCATTCTCCACCGCCCTCTGTTCCATTAAATACAAAATCAATCAATCAACCAATAGATCATTCATTAAATTCTAAACCATTTAATTAAGGTACTTATTACTATAATTAAATATTGATTAACAACAGATGCGATTAATCTACCTTGTAAGCAGCATCAACGTCGGGGTAAACAAAACACACTTCAACAGGTGGTCGTTCTTGTTTAGATCTAGTGGCGTGGACGGCAGCGGTGAGACCATCGGTCTCGTGCTGGTGGATTGGAGTGAAAGCGATCGTCGTGTGTCCACTTTCCAACTCTCCCCATCTGAGATGCAAAATTCACAATTAATTAATCAGTTAAATTAAGAAACACAGACACCAGAAGCACGAAAGAGACCGACACGAAAACACTGATATTTAATCACAAAATGTCAATGTCGATTTTGGACACAGACACTCATACAGTGTTACAGAGATCGTGAAAGAAATGAGTATCTACCTGTGGGATTCGTCTAAGCGGCGAACGGAATAACCGAAGGCTTTGGCGTAGAAAGCTACGGATTGAGCAACGTCTTTTACGTAAAGAACCGTGTATGCATACGCTGGACTGAGACTCGACGATGCCATTGATTGGTGATTTTGATTTGATTTGCGTCTTTGTTCTTCGTCTGGTATCATTCACGTATTGCAGTTTAGATATTCTGATTTGTTATAGCGAGTCAATTTTCAAGGATGATCGTGTACGTGGAGATTCATCAGGACTTACACGTGGAGTTCATGCACGTTGACACCTGTTCTACTATTTTCTCTTCATTTTACACCCAGTTTCTATTCAACTTTGATTTTTGATCCTTTTAAAAATAAACGAATTTTTTTCAAACCATATTTTTTAGAAAATAGAAAATAGATAAAAAAAAAAAAATTGTTTGAGACATTCATTAGTGTTACTTTTACAAAAGATTTTTAAGCTTTCGGTACACATCAATTAAATTTATTTAGAGCATTTTAGAATTTAGACGTCTTTTTCATTTCGCGCACGTTATTTATTTTCGCACTTTTTTTATATATACGAATGTATCTGTGTATAGTTTGTAATAATTTAAATTAGGGTTTTATATTTACTGCTATTGTTTTCTCCGTTTTGGACTTGTAATAATCCCCCTCCACGAAACTTTGTAATAATTAGATTTATATTTCCGCACTTTTAATTTATGCAAAATATTAACTATTTAGATACATGTTAACTAGGATTGTATGACAAGAATAAAACAAAACGCTAGCAAACCTAAATGCAAAGGTAAATAACTGAATATAACAGAATTGTACATGCACACCTCTAGGATACCCCACTTTGGTTGCCTTCGGAAAAATAATCACAACTCTCGAAACGTGAGAGATTTTAGTGGCTACCCTCCGATTTAAAGATTATAAGTCCCTCGATGACCCTATCGACGTTGCCTCGGTATGATCTTAAAACCCTAGGGTAGTTACTAAAGTTTCTTGCCCAGTTGCCTTTGTGACTATATAAACGTCCCTTCGAATCCCTCAAACATCCAACGGCTAGGACTACCTACTCACTAATAGTAGAATAGCACTGTCTAAAGGAAAAGAGGAAAAGAACAACCTTTCGAGTAAAGTAGATAGTTGTTAGATGCTTGCTCAAACAATTTTTACACTTGCACAAAAACTTCTTTCAAAAACATTTTCAAACACTTTATATACGTTCTCTACTATTTTGAGAAACCTTACAAAGTCCACTGTACTAAGGCGCTTTCAAAAATACTTTTCAAAACACACAAAACACAAGGTATTTCAAAATGAGCTAAGCATCTAAGAGCCCGTAGATAACTACGGATGAAAATGGTGCTAACATCTTCCATTTCCATAATCTATCCCCCTTACTCAGAAACATCTCAAAAGGTCTTTTTATGTTCTTTTCACCCTTTCCTTTTTTGGATAAAAGAAAAATCGGTGGCGACTCTTGCTAACCGCAACATTTACGAATAAAAATGCAAAACCAGTATAACTGTCAGTTCTCCCACCGTATTACATGTACCACTTTAAGAATGGACATAACAAAGGTCATCTGTTTTGGAGAAGTACGTTCTGGAAACATGAAGATACTTGTAACCTATTTATCTGGAATGATGATATTGTTCAAGGAACTGCAACTTATGAAAGGTTGGATGAAAAATTGAATAAAAATGAGAGCATGCTGAGGGAGATACGTGCTCTTGAAACCATGAGGGAGCTGTACGAAAATTCTTTGAAGAACAAGAAATTGCAGATGAAGATAAAGGCAGATGCATGGTTTGGAAATTTGAAGTCATGGTGTCTTGTTGAGTCTATAACGGTCAACATGTTTTTTATATGGAAGTGTAACT